GTATAAACTTATTTTTGTTACTTATAGTACTAAATGAAACAACTAAAAATAAAGTAGCACAAGTATAAATAATTTTTTTAAATATTAATCGGATTGTTAAAGAAAAAAACAAATATTAACTATTTATTTTGTTATTAACAAGTATATAGGTATCGTGGTATAAAGAATAATATTTAATATAATGCATTTTTTATACTATAGCTTATGTTATAACTTAATATTATAGTTTTTATAATATAACTTGACCATACATTAATGTACCTATAATAGTATAACGTACTAATCAGTGATTCATTGGTATTTATTTCCTATATCCATGACTCATGATGGTTAGTGAGATTAATACTTAATTTAAATACAATTAGAGTTTTAATACTATTTCGATTATTGTATTCTGAAACAAAATTCTTTGTCACAATAATTAGTGCGACTAGAATTCACAGGTTATGTTAGAACACACGCCACAATCTCTCAAACACAGACTGAACAAATGAAAAATAATATAATCATTGTTACCGTCTCAAGTTTTTATTGTTATTGTTACCTTTCAAACAAGACAGTTTATAATAACAGCAAAATCGCTAAATTGTCGAATAAGTAGTATAGTTTGGGTGAATGTTTGACGTGGCGACAAGGTTTTTGCTCCGAGTATACCAGAGGAGCTCAACGTGTTAAATTTATAATATTATGACTATAAATTATAATGAACCCAAAAACTGCGTTGAGATATTAGTAAAATATCAAAACCTATGTAAATTAGGCGGTAAATTTATTTCAGCCTATGGGCGGCAAAAACCTTAATCCGGCTCTGAATACATCCATCGGTATTCTCTCATAATAATGATAAATGAATAATCTAAATATATAGGTACAATAGGTAAGTGCATTTTACGATTTAAATTATTATTTTAAGTTCGTACCTACTCGCCGACGTCCTGAAGATATTATACGTTCAATCGCCAAGATAATTTGAGCGGGGTGGTTGGGTAGGCATTAGCGTGTTGAATTTATTTGGGGGTGGGGCTATAGCCCTCTTAGCCCCCTTCCCCCGTTCTACACCTATGCCCTTCTAATAAGCCGGCCGCTATGTGGCCGGGTATGGTCTGGTGTCGTGCTAGTTTTTGATTGATTCATGTTATTACTACATAAAATTGAACCATGATTCGCAGAATCGTGGATCGTACTATAGTACGGCCAGAGAAACTAGGCTGGTGATTTTAGCACTCGCCTAGTTTCACTGGCCTTACTATTATTCGTAAGTTATTATAAGATAATTATCTATATTAGATATGAGAAGAACTATTATAGTCTATAGTGTGTTGTGTATATGGAGTATGATAATAATTATGGTTGTGTGTTGTCAGGGTGAGTATTTAACAGATAAGGTTCTCTGTGTTCAATATTTATTGTTTGTCGTTTGGATTAGCCATTGTTTGAAGTTTCAATTGTATACATTACAAGAAGGCTATTTGTATTGAGATAAAAATGTAATTTTAATTGTAATGTGACTTACAGTAATGGTTAGCGAACGGTTTTTTTCAGTTGTATTATGTGTCGGTAAAAATCTTTGCCCCCTATCAAAAACTGAAACATCACTGCCATGGTGCTGTCGTAGTCGGCGAGTATGAACTATACATATTATGTTCATCGAAAAATTGGCATATGGTAGGTACGCGAGGCTGTGAAATGGGCATTAACAAAACTTAGACGTAATTACCTAACCCCTTCCCGTTTGAAAATTGAACCATTTAAAAAGTGGAGAAATTAAAAAAAATAACCAATTTGAAATTAATATTGAGTAGGTAATGAATTTATTAGTAAAAATGTTTTTTAAATGTTGTATACATATTTTATACCATTGTATAAAAACAATCTAAACAGCTTGTATAACACCATTTACTATGCATAATATCAAATTTACACCACTAAGTACCAACTTAAGTAAGTATTGGATAGGTATCTATATTTTGCAATGGAAATTTTGAACACCAATAAATAATAATTGTAAATACTAAATTGTTTTACGAATGCTTATTTTGTATTACATATATTTATATGAAGGTACATGTAATTAAATAAATGTAAGTACCTACTGGAACAAATTTAACATTTTTATAAAAATAGCAAAAACAGAGTCGACGTGACGACGTCTAACTAATTTTGGGCAGCCAACGACGACGTCAGTATAGGTACGTGAATATAGGTGTACTTTGGTACTACTACGTGACGATGGCTGCATCGTTCAAACTATGTGTCGACGACCAACGTAGGTAGTGGAATGTTGTCCATCACTGTACTTACCAGTATTGTCATCTATGGTTAAGATCAGTGTCGACCTGGCACTTAAAATCCCTCTGCCTCAAATTTCCTCTGAGGCCTCCATTATTTTCTTCATATAATAGGAAGGTAATGGGTTAGTTGGTTAGTGAATATATCCTCTTCCTCCAATCTATCCACCCTAGATAAAGATTAAAAAAAATTATTTTATCTAGATAAATCATCGGATAATTTTTTTTATATTTGTTTATGGCACTCATTTCTTATAAAATGTACAATATAATAGTTTATATTTATTTTATTTTAATTAATAAGTATATTTAATATTAATATGTTTGATGTAAAATAATGGTTGAGAGTTCCAGTTCACAATACTAGTTTAGTAATAACTCAAATAAATATAAAATTATACCTACCAAAAAATCATGTGTTAAACAAATTAAACTATCTTGGTGTATTATAATTTGTAACTAAACAAAAACATAAAAATGATTAAATGTGTAGAAAAAACATAATTTTTTAAATCTGCAACATAAGAGCATTTCAAATGTGTTGTCTTTTATTCAGTTACGTCATGCTGTTTGTTGATATTTTTGGATCCAATAGGACTATTAGATACTCCTATACCATTTATGTTTAAAAATATAATATCATTGATTATAAATAATTAAAGTATTTATAATTAATGATAATATTAATAAGCAATTTTTTTTAAATCAGATTATCTCGAGTCATTTTTATATAAATATTATTATGAACTACCGTAGTGCCGTCTGCTGGGTTTTATTAATTATTTCTGGGTATTATAGATGCATAGATTTTAATAATAAATTTTATATTATACGTTTACATAATACAGCTAGGTACCACTGTACCAGCATTATGATTTATAATTATAATAATAATAATGTACCTAATTTAATAATTAAACCATAAAAACAAACACAACAATATGCTGCGTGTAGGGTGTATCATAGAGTAATTATTACTCTATGGGGTGTATAGTATAATATTTTTTAATATACCTATAATAAGTACGCCAAACGTCATGTATAATAATGTTCCGAATTGATTCAACTTACCAAAAACCAAAAATATATTGTATATGTGTATAATGTATACTGTATACCAATTATAAAAAAACCGAGTAGGTACCTAAGACTTAACTGACATGATCTACAATAATTGTATTACTATCTTAATGATAATAATATACTCTATACTCTCCGTTGACCATAGTTATAACTTATAAGAATGACTTAATAAAATAACATTTGTTACCGGAAATGTCGATAGTTATTAGTAAAAACTACCTACCTACTTATTACTTAATTGTTTACCTATAGTAAATAAAACCTGTTGAATAAATTAAATTATCTAGATAATGGTGATTTTTATCTTAGATAAGTACCTATGTAAATTAATATTTTCTATCTAGATAAACAGACTCAACACTGCATATTGTGTTCGAATGTAAACTAATTGAATTGTCATATGTTAGAAATGTTCTGTGTACGAAATATCGAGTGTTAGAATTAGAAAAATATTGAAAAATATTTGTATTTTTGTCAATCCTTAAAATTCAATACTAAGTATTTTTAAATTTAAATTTAATCATAAAAAAGTACGAAATAAAATATTTTGTCATTCATAAAAACTAAAAGTTATATACTTATTTGCAGATTTAAATGATGAGCAATTGCAAGAAAAAATTCTAATTTATAGATATTTTCGTTTAAAAAATTAACAACATGAATTGATTTCAATCTTAAATTTGTTTCGATATAAATTTTTTTTGTCTTTTTCGTTGGCCGTCCACAAACTGACATCCCTATTGTCACTTCAGTTTCATTTCGAACTTTTTTTAATTGTTGTATGAATTTATGATTATTTTATTATAATTAGGTTTATTATGGGGTATACTGGTCAATATTGTCGATATTATTAATAATAAAATCGTATAATATAATTTTATAGTATATTATTTCAAATGTTCGAACATTCGATCTTTCGTAATTCGTACACAAGACATTTCTAACATGACCATTCGATTAGCTTACGTTCGAACCACATGCCGTTCGAATAGACCATATTCGAACTAGTAACCAGCTTCCAGCCAATTCATGGTAGTATGGTACCTATGGCTATTTTAAGTTGAATGAATGCGTTTGTAGCAATAAAAAATTAAAATAAGACTGAAATAAGAATCTTGTGACCGTGTATGTGACGCTTTTTTGACTGCACTTCGTGGGTGCCCTGCTTATAAGCTTACAATAAAAAAGTTCAGTGCTGACACTGCGTGTTTAAGTTCAATAGACAATAGTTTAAGGTTTTACATTATTATTTGTTAACTGTTGTTCATATGTACGTACAACGTACATACTTAACTAATATAGTAATATAGTATTGCTATAGCCTATATTAATATGAAATTACTGCCATGATGAGAGATAGGATAAAGAATTACGAATAAAGATACCTATACATATTATACTATTTATACTATACTCACGTCTTTAACTAGTTTAACTACGCGAACGAGTAAATATTATAATTATTTTAAACAACTAATAAGGCGCGGTGATGCAACTTTCACTCCGCCTTTCGTTGGCCATACCAACCAAGATTTCAAAAACTCACTATCGATAATATTTGTTGTTGCTCGGTCTTATCTCCAAGATAACGAGATAACGTTATTGACATATGTACAGAGTAGAGACTGGTGAGTAGACTGAGTGATGACTGATGGCTGGAGACGCTACAGTGTTACTGCTGGACGTTGAGCTGTGATTACCTATTTTTTGTAAAGATAGTCCCGAGCCTGTTTAAAGTTTCTGTTCGTCTCTACTACCATCGCAGTCTTCCAATACTCAATCGAATTCTACCATACGCTAGTGTAAAACAAAATGGCACTGAAAGCGATTGTTGGGCAGAGTAAGTCATTGTGATTCTGTCTGTGCGTTACGGCTTCGGCCGCCGATCATTATCGACCGTCGTATATAATAGTGGAGACATATAACCTATACCTACTTATATCAATCGCTGTCTTTTTGCAGAAATTATGGACGAAGTGATTAAACGGAAAGAATCGAAAAAGGGTACTGTCGAAAAACTGATCGAATGGCGGGTACTAGTGGTCGACCAGCTGGCGATGAGAATGATATCTTCGTGTTGCAAGATGCATGACATATCGGATGAACGGATCACTCGTAAGTGTTGTTTTCAACATCAATGTGACGATACCTTCTAGACGAGAGGTGTGTGTCGATATCTTTTTTCTTGTGTTTTTTAGTTGTGGAAGACCTGCACTTAAACCGCGAGCCATTGCCTACAATGGACGCCGTTTATTTGATCACTCCTTGTGAAAAGTCCATCTCCACACTCATCAGAGACTTCTCCAGTCCGGGGAAATCTATGTACAAAAATGCTCATGTATTCTTCACCGAAGGTAAAATTTTTTGTTCCTATCTCCATTTATGTTAATGCATAAATCTTATTGTATTTCAAATCATAGAACTTACAAACTGTTTCCAATATTAAATAGGTACGATTTTGCCAATCATTTTAAACATTGTAGTATAATTTATATAAACTAGGTATCTATATGGTACCTATATCAATTATATTGTCCCTATTATTTTCACAGGTTTTGGATGCTGTTTCCATTAATTAGTCTTATGAATCTTTTCTAAACTGTTTTCCTCATTCGTTCTACTTTATGATATTGATAGGGATTATTGGTGCACTAGTTAACTGATAAATAGTGAAAAGTTTTGTTGTTTAAATTGATTTATGGCTGTTGTTGATAAGTCAATGTTTGTAAAATTGTATTTTACATAGATATATTGTTTAACAACTTTAGACTGACTTTAACATAGGTAACATTTGTAATGCATGTAAATGTTTTTATTAATTTTGTAAATATTATTTTTTTATTGATCTTAAGCCCTGCAACTATGGTCAATAGCTGCTTGTAAATTAATTACTGTGGGGGAGGGCACGGTTTGAACATGTGTTTTTGTGGCTAGAATTTGTCATTAAAAATTTGGGTGGTTATCCAACTGCAAACTAGTGACACTGGTCGATGCTTGCTCTCAGAAACAAAACATAACTGAATACAACCACCCGGTCGCAATTGTATTTATGATTTAGTAAAATAATGTTAAAGTATGCCATTAAGGAATTGTACCTATACGTAATAATACAATAAATTATATATACTTGATTGTTTATATCCAGCTATCTTATGTTGTTATTTGAAATGATTATTATCTGTTCAGAGAATGGCAGCTCACCATTTATTTTTTCTCTCTCTGACCCTGACGCAATATAGTAAATTTAATTTAGCAGAACTAACTCTGTGTTGTTACTTTTAATATTATGTTGAATTCACCTATTATCAAACTTAGTGTTCCTACATTGGTTTTTTTACAATATTTTAATTTTTGTATCATTGATAAGTATTTTTGAATTGTAATAATGTATACTCTGATAACTTACATAAAAATTAAAATATCATAAATTAGCAAACTTTGAGACAGGTATTGTTCTTAACTTAAAATTTGAAAATAGGTGAATTCCATTTAATATTAAAAGTAATAACAGGGTTGGTTCTGCTAAACGTAAACTTGCTATGCTTTGCTCGGGGCAGAGAAGAGAAAACAAACAGTGCATGGACAACCTCTTAACTTACTTCTTTTATTTATTATTATTATTAATTCAAAAATAAATAATAAAATTCTTTAGTACATTAATATAAATACTTAGGTATATAATTATGTCTATCTCCTATTAGGTTTATGTCTTGTGGTGTCAAATAAATTAATTTATCCCTGTTGTATCGTTAGATTTGACTTAATTAAAAATGGTTTGTTTGTTGAATGATTTGTCTTTCAATTTCTTCAACATGAAATTACCCCCATTATGGTAAATTTAAAGTTCTTGAATTTGGTTATGTCTGACATTTTTTCGTAGTAAAATAGATATTAAAATAAAATATAACTATTATTATGCATCAAACTATAAAAAATTGTATTAAACTACTAATACAGCACACTAACACCAGTAATACAATAATTTAATATTTGTACGCCAATAATATACTAATTATGCTTAATATTCTAATATGGTACTATATTTTAATTGCTTAATTTTAACAAAAGTGTGTCAAGAAGAACTCTTCAATGAACTGTGCAATTCAATTGCTGCCAAAAAAATTAAAACTCTCAAAGAGATAAACATCGCTTTCCTACCATATGAAAGTCAGGTGTGTTTATTTATCATAAATAATATAAATGAAGACCATATTATACATAATAAGTTCTAATATATTTATTTTAATACTTATATTTTTTTAGTATTTAATACTATAAAACGATTTGTCAGTATTGGGTTTATCTATTTATGTTTTTAGGTGTTTTCTTTGGACTCCCGGGAAACATTTCAATGTTACTATAATCCATTACTAGTAAGCAGTCGTATCCCAAACATGGAACGTATTGCAGAACAGATTGCTACGGTGTGTGCTACATTAGGAGAATATCCATCAGTACGGTATAGAAGCAACTTTGAACGTAATGCTGAGTTAGCTCAAATAGTACAACAAAAGTTAGATGCTTATAAAGCTGATGAGCCAACAATGGGTGAGGGGCCAGAAAAAGTGCGTTCACAATTAATTATATTAGACAGAGGATTCGATTGTGCATCTCCGGTCTTGCACGAGCTTACTTTTCAAGCTATGGCTCATGACCTTTTGCCAATAGAAAATGACGTTTATAAGTGAGCTATAATTATAACATTTTATTCTTAATTTTAATTAATTTTGTTCCAAAAGGTATGAAGCCAATGCAGGATCTTCTCTCATTAAGGAAGTGTTATTGGATGAGAATGATGAACTATGGATGGAGCATAGACATTACCATATTGCTGTGGTATCCAAGTGAGTTTTCAACATCATCTTGGTTACTTGGATAATACTTTTTCTCAGTGGCATGACTAAAGAATGGCATTAGCGTGTACCATAGACAGGTTTAAAGAGGTCCTCAGATGTTAAGAATTTATTGTATTTACATAAATAAAATTATAATTATAATTATGTTAAAAATGTTAGCCCCCCCCCTGAAATTTTAACAGATTTGAGCTGATGATTATGGGTATTCATAGTATATAAAAATATTATGATAGTACAACATTTATATAATAGTTATGGGTAATGTGACCATAGGAATCTAGGAAAAGAAGCCCTCAAAATAAAAATACAGTAAAAAAAGCCCCTTATTAACAAACACTATACATCCAATGATTATGTTCTAAATATTCCAAATTTCCAACTGTCTTATGAACTATCAGAATTATTATTGATTTTATTTATTATTCAATAATTATGTGTTACACTATTTTCAACATAATGTATTGTCATGATTTAAATAGAATATAATCATATTATGAAATATTTATGTAATTGTATATAATTTTATTAAATTGTCCAATAATTTTTTGAATCCTTGCAAATCAAGCATATTTTTCTCGTGTATTTTACCTTTCTTTATTTAGTGTATCAGAATTTGGCAACCATTTAAAAATTGGTCAATATTAACTGCATACGATAGGTAATTCACGACACATTAATATGTATTATATTTATATTTATGTAATTATATATTTGGATCTTAAGTTAAATTTGCTCAGGTGCCAATAATTTATAGTTACACGTAAGCCACTACATTTTTTATGTCTTATTCTATGATTCCTTCCAGGAAAGTAACACAGAAATTGAAGAAATTCACAGATTCTAAACGCATGTCTGCTGGCGATGAAGGAAAATCTTCTATGAGCAATTTATCTACTATGATTAAGAAAATGCCTCAATATCAAAAAGAGTTGAGTAAATATTCAACCCATTTGCATTTGGCTGAAGATTGCATGAAACATTATCAAGGTTACGTGGACAGACTTTGTAAAGTAGAGCAAGATCTTGCCATGGGTACCGACACAGAAGGCGAGAAGATCAAAGATCATATGCGGTGCATTGTGCCTATACTATTGGACTCAAATGTGTCTAGCAACGACAAAATGAGGATAATTATATTGTATATTTTGTCAAAGAATGGAATATCAGAAGACAATCTTAACAAATTGATACAACATGCCCAACTGTCACCAATTGATAAGCAAACAATTGTCAATTTGAGTTTGCTCGGTATCAATTCTATTGTGGATGTAAGCATTACAACATTTTAGTGATGTAGATAGTTTAATTTATAGTGTACCTATTGAATTTTTTCACAATATTATGAAAAGGAGGCAACATAAATATAAAATAAAGCACGAGGATCCCTTTATTAAAAATAACAATTAATAATTATAGTTTTATTAAAATGTAAAATATAAAATATATAACCTGTTTCAAAAAAAAAAAAGTTTTAAATAAAATAAATTTATATTCTTTGTTTAAGTAGAAATAATTAATAAAGAATAACAAATAAAAAACATCTTATAGTATAAAGAAAACAGCATATTTTGTTGAATAAATATTTTACTTTTAATTAAATTAATTAAATTAACTGTGTAAGTCAACTACCAATCACCTATTTATTAATAACTTCTTCAAAATCTTATCTTGAAGAAAAACTTTCTTTATACATTGAGTTTATCAAGTAATTCGTCTGTATCTCAATCTTGGATTCACAATCTTGATATTTTATTATGATGTTCAGATTCTACTTTACTTCTACTAACTGGTTTACATTTAAAGTACTTGTTGAAGGATATGAAAATTATTTACAATAGAATGTGATTCTGTCTCACTAACATCTGACTGAATGTTCTTTTCAGTGATTTTTGAATTTTTTTTTTAACTGGTTTTTATGTTAACTGGGATCTGATAAATTATTAATGGCTTCCCAACCTACTCATTACTTAACTTATTCCTTTTTTTTTTTGTATGAATAAGTGAACATGTACTAAATGATCTTTTGCTGGCGTTAGATGACAAAAGTAGAGATAATATTGCTAATGTAATTTATACTATAGTAATACTTACTATTTCCACAAACTCCATTCCACCAAACTGAGGGGTTCAAATTTTCCTAATCTAGTGACTATAATATAAATTATTTACTTCATAAGCCTTCATGTGTTCTAAATTGAGCCAATTAAGACATTATTTTTTGTGTTTCTTCGGAGATCAATAATTTAGAAACATGAAATATATACTCCTTATATAACTCCTTCAATAACATTGTTTGATTCCAATTATCTTTCTTGGTACCTTGGGTGAAGTATAGCACTCCCATAGGGTATATGTATAAGCTATTGAATCTTTATTCTTAGAAGTCATATTGTAGAATACTCCTCGACTTTTTCATTGCAGCCCCGTTGCAAGTAAAAATTCCTAAACAATGTTTTTTTCCTAATTCGTCTTTTACTTGACTAATTTTCTTGGCAACATATTCTGCAATATGACGTTCCATAGATGGGTTAATAAATTTAAAAACTATTGGCTCTGGTATGGTTACAATTACATTTAAAATTCGTTCATTCCTAAAAAATATTTAATCAATTAATTAAATTACTTAAATCTGAGTAAAATATCGTTATCAGTGATCACTATGAGATTGAAAGCTGTCACATTCATATAATAATAATTAAAGTATTAAAATTTAAAACGTCTTATGGTTCTTCATATAGTTCTTTATGTTAACTACTTATATAATGAATGATAATATTAAATAACTATAAAATAAACTATACTATAAATAATATAATAACTTGAGTTCTATATTTAAATTTTAAATCATTATCACCTATATTACTAAATCCGTCAATTTAAACTTCATAAACATAAGCATAATTAATTTTTTTTCAAACATCTAAATTAATTAAATTATACTTACAGTATAATAATTTATGAGATAATATTGAACTTGCTAGAAGTTGAAAACTTGGTCCTAATGCTTTAATAAACAGTATACAGTGGTTTCTTTATGACAATGGTTTGGCACTGGAAAATATAGCAGTGCTTTAAGGTTTCCATAAATGTTTTTTTAAACATAGTATAGGTATTCAATTTAAAATAATGTTAATGATTTCATTAATAACTTAATAACTACAAAATAAATACATTTCGTTTACTCATAGTAGAATTAAAGTTTTGTTATTTTAATTTTTAATATATTGGTATTTCCAAAAGCTTAAGTTTTTACTAAAAATCTAAAAATGTTCATTCATTATGGCATTTGCAGGTATTTAATTTAGTTATATGCATAATGCAAAATTTTGGAATGAATAATCAATTAAATATTAAAATGTGTCTGTTAGTTATGTTTGTAATTTGATTGATACCGGAAAATGTTCAGAGTCAATATTCATTAATATACTAAAGATTATAACCAGTAACCACTTATGATATAGTGCAATGATGCAATGGTTATCAAAATATGATAGGTATTATAATAATTTGTATCATGTATCAATCATTATAATCTTATAAAAATCCTGATGTGTACTAAAATCCTAATTTCTTGATAAAAAATAAAAAATTGTACAAATAGAGTGGTTCAAATAAACTTGATTGTTTAAACTGTTTAAAAAAATGTAAATCATACATTTTTTTTCCAAATTTATCTTACCAGTAAAATTGTATATGGTAAATTCACAAGACTCACATCACTACGAAGTTGAATTATAATATTATTAAAGGACTTAATTAAAATAATATTATTTTTTAAATTAATATACTTTCTATTTCCCCAGGGTAACAGAAAAAAACAGTATCAAATACCACGTAAAGAGCGCGCCTCTGAACAGACATATCAGATGTCTCGTTGGACACCAGTGATTAAAGATTTAATGGAAGATTGTATTGAAGACAAATTGGATGCTAAACATTTTCCTTTTCTTGCAGGCAGAGCTGCTTCATCTGGATACCATGCACCATCTAGGTGTGTATAAATAATACTACAGGAGAACCTCGATTATCCGAAATAATTGGGACAGCACCTAGTTCGGATACGCAAAAGTTCGAATATTGGAAATTTAAAAAAAAAATTTAGAATTACTTATGTATTAATTATTTATTATTTTTATAATTAAATATTTATTATTGTTATTAATATTTTATTAGAATTACAAACATGCATTACATTATCAGAAACATTATCATACATTATAAGAAATACATTACATTTATTTTATTTACATACCTATGTATTATATTTTTTTAGACGCATGTAAAATACAAACATGATCTGTACTAATAATAAACCAAAAACGATAGTTATGATAAATTCGATAAACCGGCCATATACAAGTTTTCATGTTCGGATAACAGAACGTTCGGATGCTCTAATTAAAGTTCGGATAATAAAGGGTTCGGATAATCGAGGTTCTACTGTATTACTATTATATTTTTATTTATTTCTTGTATTTTAAATTCTTTTTTTGCTAAATATTTGATTTTTGTAACCTATACAACAGTATACAACCTTAAATCTAAATGATTATAAAAGTACCAAGGTCATACTAAATTTCACTAAAAATGTTTACTCACTCAATAAATTACTTTATAATTATTAGCATAACAAAAAACGTATTATCTTTTTAGTACTCTTGATATTGATGAAATTAAATAAATTTTAATTTATTTCTAGTGCACGGTATGGACACTGGCATAAGGATAAAGGCAAAGGACAACAGCTTATAAAAAATGTCCCAAGAGTAATAATTTTTGTGATTGGAGGAATCAGTTTTTCTGAGATGAGGTGTGCGTATGAAGTAACTAGTAATTTCAAAAACTGGGAAGTCATTATAGGTAATTGAAGTAGTTTGTTTACTAATTATTTTAATTTTTACTTTGAAACTTTTTTATATTTAATGTGTTTTGAGCAGGTTCATCTCACATACTGACTCCAGAAGACTTCATCAACAACTTATCAGCTTTAAGTCAATAAATCTAGTTAAATTCATATTTTTTAAGTATTTAATATTATTTCATGTGTAAACTTAAAATCATGAACTCTGTAAACAAAATTAAAATTTTATACAGAAAAATACTCAGTATTATGGGATTCAAATAATTACACATTCTTCATCAAATTTTTAACATTTATCATTACAAATAAATAAATAAATGTTATGATTTATAAAAAATCTTACTCTAATATTTATTATCATCAGGGTTTGTGAGTGCATGCATTTGAATATCAATCTTGCCAAGTTGTAATTAATGTTAGGTGACATATAAATATATTTTGAGGTCCCGTGGTTGAGTATGTGAAGTTTTATTTTTGCATATTGAGAGGTTTTTTTTACTATTTGTCATATTTTTTCTATTTTATTGTGCATATTTAGAGATTTTTTGCCAAAATTTGATGAAAATGCAATAATTTATATTTTGTCATTGCTTAAATTATATGGGAATTTTCACAACATAAAATTACTAAAAATAAAACATATAGAGCCTGTAACCCGCATTTAGCAATTAGTAGAAAATATTTTATAAGAAATAGTCTCATCTTCTTGATACTTTAACAGTGGTTCATCCTTAACTATTTCAGTTGTTAGTGTGACAAAAGTGTGAGCGGATAACTTTTCCAGAGAAATTTTTTGTTAATCTCAAATTTACTTATAATTTCTTTTTTTTTAATATCCATATTTTTCTAGGTTTTTAGTACATATGTGCATACTTCTTTAGGTATTTTTAAGGCATGAACTCATGAGTCCAGATTGTAATAATTAAAACTATTTTTCACAAATATTCTATACTACATATATTTTTAAATGGTAGAAGGAAATTCGACAATTTTTGTTTTATAAGTATGGATTTAACAGACAGTGTTTGCACAACAATGTTTAATTTTAACAAATCTTAGTTCAAAACTAAAAATTCAACAATTGTATAAAATAAATGTTATGTTGCTTACCTTTTAGATTTTGTTATAAAATAAAATTAACATAATTGTATAAAACTCATAAACTATGACTCAATGGCCTATGCTGCCGAAGCTGTAACGATCAATAAAAAAAAAAAATTAACATACCAATATCAACTAAAATTATTAGAAATAATATTAGTTAAGTATATAAATTAAGTAAAAAGTAATGTTAAATTAAAGAGGTTAAGTATTATGAAAATATAACTTAATACATTTTTTCAACATAATGATACAGAACAGTATAGTATCAGACATTCAAGGGACCACAAAAAATATCTAATGTTGAGAATACTTCGAAATAAAATATATATTTGTTTTAATAATTGTATACATACCTATATAACATCTTATTATAAAAATGTTAAATTTTAATTTGTCTGCCAAACCAATTAAAAGATTGCATTTGTTTTATATATTTTAAGTGCATTGTGTTTTTCAATTATATACTAATTGTAATAATTATCATCTCCTTTTCTCTGGACCTATCTGAATAAAACATTGCATTCTTGTTGTTCAGAAAACAATTTAACCTACTCATGGTATAATATAATATTCTTCCAATTTTAAAAATATATAACTTTTATAAAGAGTTAATAATTAAGCATAAAAATATATGTTTTTAACAATATTATTCAATTCTTTGTTTTTAGTGTATTTGTGTATTATTAATACATATATTTTAAGTTATAATACTAAGCAGTATTTAAATTAAAATATCAAACAATCAATATAAATTGTATCCATATTTATTATTATATTATTCATTTCAATTAGTTTTATTATTTATAACTTCTTAAAAGATATATTCTTGTAGAATTAGCTTTGTTATAATTATTTAATGCATGCTTAAATACTATGAATTATATAAGTTAAAATAATCTAATTTAAGATATGAAAAAAATGTGATCAATTTATATCATCTTAATATTGGTATGTGTACTTAGTGATAATTAAGGTCACTATAGCCATTTGTATTGGTGCATAACATCAAACATGTATCAATAAATATATTATTTTGACATACTTTTCATGTTGTATGCAACAAACATTGAAGATTTAATAAACAATTTGTGAGTTAATAGTCCCTTAAACATGATAGGTTCATTATATTTTAGAAAACCAGTAAATTAATACATTTTGTTTACAACTCTGTATAAATATACATTCCGTATGGCTAATATTTTCACAAACATATCAAAGTACATTCAAACTACTCTTTCGCTGATAATCGATTAATAGATATCAATTTTAACTATTTTAGATAGTTTATTATGTTATTGTGAGGTAGTTTAGTAGCTGTAATTATTACTTAAGTATTATAGAAATTAATTTGTATCTTTTTTAGATGTAGTGTGTATTAGATTTATTATGTAATGAACATTTAAATAGATTAAAAAAACTAGTTCTTAGTCTTAATATAATAATACCCAGTTAAATATTGTGATTTACTCATCACCTATGTATTATTAACAGTACTATTCTATAATTAAGTTAGTACTTATGTAGACTAGTTTAGATAGGTAGTATTAATTTATTGTAATTTTAGCCTTAAATCATAATTAATCTTCAAAAATATTTTAAACCCAGACACAGATTTTATACCAAATTGTATCTTATTGCTTTTATTTCATTTCTAAGCAGGAAAATTATTTTAATACCAAAACATTTGTTACAACAAATGATCAATATAATATATAATTTCAATATTGAATTTAAATTTTTCTGGTTTTGAGAGAACAATTTAAAATTTAAAATGGATTTTCTTAAAATATATTATTTGACTTTTTTCTTGATACTTTGATTTCAGCTCTCCTGTAAGGGACTGTTTCTGAAAATGTAATGGTTTTTACTCTATTATCTACTGTTAACACATTCGATTTATAATTTAACACTTTAATTACTAAAATATAAATTTCTAATAACTATTTTGAATTTATGCTATTACTATTATTGAGAAGGTTTAAACTTGTAGATTTTTATTAAATTAACTACAAAAATATAAGTGTAATTAATGAGTTTCTTAAGTCTTATCTTGTGAAATAATTTTTTTTTTTGATAATTTTCAATTACAAATTATAAACAATGCTATTGTATATTCATTATTTTAACTTTTTATTGTTAAATGTTTTTTGTATGATTCAACGGCCTCAATCATATGAAAGTATATCTGACTTAACTTTATTATTATTATATAGTTTATATACTGAGAAATATTATTTCTTATTTATTACTTCTGAGAAACGATAACAATAGACCATTAACAATGGGTGGGTCTTGCAGGAATTATATTGACTATACAGTTGATAGAATACCTACAGAAACCGATTTTATCGTCAAACATTGTCCTATAATTAATAGTCTTCGGGTAGTGTAGAGTAGCCATCGTAGCATATTGTGCAGTGTGTTCGTTTAGAATTTAATAATTATAAAACTGCTGACAGGGTAGTGTATGATAAATAATAAATAAATATCTTATAATATTTCAGTTTATTTCAAAAATTGGTCGATTTTCGACCCAACATCTAGAAAAAGCACTTGCGCGGCCACACGTTCGAGTACATTCATGACACATTTATAACAAGGTTAAGCCATATAATACTATACAATACATATCATACACAACCGTTATGTTTTTAATGACCATATAGAGATATGTACGCAATCAGTATCACCATCCAGATGTTTATACATAAAAAAAATTTGTAGCAAGTAAATCGTTGGTAAATAAAAAGCTGGTTGACATTTCTTAAAATATTTTGTTGTTCTTTGAATAAGGTAATGCTCATAACATTATTTAGGCTGTTGAAAGAAAATACCGTTTAATTAAAAAAAAACCAGTGTGTGTGTTACCAGTACGCACGCGGGAAGTTAAAATTCTTTTAACGGTACACGTGAGTGAGTGAAAAAGAAAGAAAGGCATGGATAGACTGGAGTAATGAAGATGATAAAGAAAGAAAAGAAACGATGTAAATTATAATTTTTTATATATTTTTTTTTTAATATTTTTATCACTTGGGTACGTGCACAACTTAGCCACCGCGGGAACGCGGGCAGCCACCGCCGCCGCCGCCGCCACTTCCACCCACCCACAAATCGAAAAACCGCCTCACCGCACGACCTTGACCTTTAATCGCAAGTCGCAACTGCGCGTGTATGATATTATTATTATTATCATAGTCGTCGTCGAAACCGCATCGGCTGTCTACGACCAACATTATAATTTATAATACGTAATATTATGTACAAATATACAATTATGTACTGATACTCTTCGCACCGCCGCCCCGACGACCGTATGAAATCATCCCGGACGATCATTCCGTTTTTAAAGAAACCCATTTCTACATAATAATGATTATTTTAGATACATATTTGTTTAATATTCGAAAATATTAATATTAGATAGGTATCCGTCATATTATTATGAAACAACTACCTTCCAACTCGTTCAATCTATTTTCCAATTGCAGATTTATTTCTATCACTTTTTGAAACTGTACAATGTCAATACTACCGGATACAGCTGCCGGGTCTAAATTGACTTGAACACTTGCGTTGATAGATTTCTCACTCACGCTTACGGCTTACCTAAAGCATAAGAATAAATAATAATCACATATTATTTTATGGTACCAACTACCAACGACCTACATCGAACAGATACATCGTTCGACCCTATATTATTATTATTAAAACATTTTACCAATTTCTTTGGCATGTTCTTCCGTGCGTCATGAAACGATTCAATCAGATGTCTCATGTTTAAAAATGCTAACATCCCGACAACACTAACACGTACGACCTTCTATGATTAAACAATTAAACTCATAAGTAATAATATTCGCAATGCAAATGCTTATAAAGACAGAACTGAATATAATAATACTCAAGTAAACTAAATTGCATATTTACACATTGTGTACTGCAGGGATAGTATACGTTGTTGGTTTTTCTTATTCAAGCCAGGAGACAAATAGTATAATTATTTTTAATCTCCTATGCGGTATGAGGAACGTGGTATAACATTTTCAAGACTTTTGATCCAACGAATTTTTTAATTGACATTAATTTTAAAAAAAATAATAAAAATCTAAAATAGTTTATACCTACTTATAACTTGTTCAACATAATCATTGAACATAATGAGTCAAAATATTTTGAAAGTTTTCTGATTTAAATCTATTATGCCTATAAATAGCGCATAATTCAAAAATGGTGTGATGCATAGATATTACTAATATAATTCAGTGAAAATTGTATGTACCTACTTTTTACTTTTTTTTTTTTAGAGTTCCACTAGAAATAAAATTGATTTCAATACTCAATAAAACTTATACTCGTAGGTCCTTGGTTTTTCCTGACGCCTTAAAAACTATTAGGAACTTTTTACTTTTG